GAGAAGGAGAAAGAGAAGGAGAAAGAGAAGGAGAAAGAGAAGGAGAAGGAGAAGGAGATGATGATGATGATGATGATGATGATGATGATGATTTAGATTTAGATTTAGATTTAGATTTAAATTTAGATGATGTGTCCTCTTGAATACAAGCCGGCTATGAGTTGTGATCGTTAGGAACCACATCTCCAGTGGCCAACTGCAGTAGAGCCAGCAACACCAGACGTGATTGGACCGGTCAACGTGGCCGACAGATTTGACTGGGAGAGTGGAGACAGCTAGGGGCCTGTTTTCACACACTCCGAGCTGACGAATTTCAGACGGGCAGTCTGTTTTGGATACGAGATGTTTGATCGCTTCTTGGATCAACCCTCGCGCCTTGGGAGGACATGGCAAATCATGAAAAAGGTGCGCCAGGTGCGCAGAAATCACAAATCACCCAAGACCCAAGGCCCAAGACAAGACTTTGACCAAGCCTTTCCATTCGTTACACCTGTCCTTTGGGGCTTCCACCAACTGACCATCCGTTCCGCCGTACCTTGTCCAGGCCCTTTTTGTTTTTTGCTTTGCCAGGTGCCGGAGCAGACTCCGGAGCAGAAGATCGTGGCCTGCAATCCAATTGGTGGGTTCCGGATGTGGGGGCCAACTGGTTGAGATCTATGAGTTGTGATCGTTAGGAGCCACATCTCCAGTGGCCAACTGCAAGGCCTTTTGTGACACTAGTTTGTGTTTTTGCTGGAAATCATGACCAGGGTTGGCTTATCCTGTAAAAATTGCAACCAGAGTGCCAGAGTGTTCATGTAAGACAGGTTGTGCAGGAAAGACCATCCTTGAGTAGTTATTTGCAACCTGCAGAAGTTTTTGTGAAAGTCCTCCCGCTCCCATTCAAAATGACCACCTGGAGACAAAGAGCGCCACCTCCCAAGGACAGCGTTGACAACCTGAATGCTGCGGAGATGGGGGAGGCACCGGCCGCAGAAGCGAACGAGGGCACGTCACAGAGATGCTCAGAGGGTGCGAGTTGGGCTGTTTCCACATTCAAGATTAGCGGTTGGGCTCAGGAGGGGGCACATATGGCTCAGGAGAGGAATGCTTCTAGTTCACAGTGATAAAGCTTCAAATCGATCAGTCATGACTCATGGCAGTTTTCCCACATGCCCTGATCTGCAAGTGTCATAGGTATCCATAGGAGAAACTGTTTTGACATGTTTTGACTAGTGTTTTGACTATATCAACATCGTGGAAGGTGGTTTGAGCAAATTCGTAGCCTGGCTACTTTCTGGGTGGCACTTACAATCACTTTACAACACAATCTCACTATATGTCTATATTATCTATACCACATTCTCGTCAGCAAAACATATATATATATATAAAGTTTCCATATATTTATACAATCAGTACGTAATACTAGACGTATCTACACGTACATCAGGTTGTCTCAGTCTAAGACCCAAATGAACGCCCCAATCGATTCTTGGAGCTTTTCACCCCCCGGAACGCTCGACCCGTCGACCAACTGAACACCGAAGCTCGACCGCGTCGTGAGGCCAAGGAGTTGAAGAAGTCGGTCCCAGCCCAGGCGAAGCGGCGGAGCCGACACCAGACATATTTGGGTCGACCGGTCGACCTGGTGGCCGACAGATTTGACTGGGAGAGTGGAGACAGCTAGGGGCCTGTTTTCACACACTCCGAGCCGACGAATTTCAGACGGGCAGTCTGTTTTGGATACGAGACGTTTGATCGCTTCTTGGATCAACCCTCGCGCCTTGGAAGGACATGGCAAATCATGAAAAAGGTGCGCCACGTGCCCAGAAATCACAAATCACCCAAGACCCAAGGCCCAAGACAAGACTTTGACCAAGCCTTTCCATTCGTTACACCTGTCCTTTGGGGCTTCCACCAACTGACCATTCGTTCCAACGTACCTTCTCCAGGTGACACCGGAGCTCGGGGCCGTCAACGCTCCGCTGCCCATGAAGCGTGACAGCTCTGAGGACCGGCTCTGGGCCGCTCTGGGCCCGTCTGACTGGTTGGAGGTCTTCAAAGACGGACAGAGTCAAAGACATTGAGCTGACCTGCGCAGCTGACCTGCTTCAGTAACCATCATTCTTTTCACTTGGAATGTCAACCATGGTCTTCCGAGCATCTGTGTCTCCTCCCCGCTAAAGATCCCATTGGTTGCATCACCTTTTGCTCGAAGCTTTGTCGATGGAGACCCCAGGGGAACTCGCGAGATCACAGTGTATTTCAACGGTTCAACCGGGTGAAAGACTTTAGGATGTTGCAAGGAGAACCTCCTGCTCAACCATGCAATTTGAGACTCTCACAACACCCGTTTATGTGCCAGATTTATAAATAAGTAAATACATAAATATATTGTAATGAATTAATACAATATATATATATATAAGTAAATATACTTATATATGGGAGTTGATCGAAAACCCGGTGTAAGGAGTTTTATATAAAATAGCCTTTCAGATGTTGTTAGAACCATCCGCGAAAGATTTATCGAAGGTCATCGCTTTCATTGTGTTCCTTTCTACCGAACTGACAAAGAATAGAAGAGAAGCGCAAGGCAATCCTCCGGCAGAGCCAGTGGGCGGAAGTGTCCCCATATGTCACAGACTAACGATTTGAAGCCTCAACATTTCCGTGCCCAGCCCTGGCAGTGCGTAAAGGATTCTCCGATTCCTGTCCCCACTGTCACAGACTAGCAATCTGGGTAGGCACAGCCCTGACAGTGAGGCAACGACCTGCAGCTGCTCTGACGGGCTGTGCAGATGTTTGCAAATTTTACGGCTTCCCGGGAAAAGCACCAGCGAAAGTTTCGCGAATGTGCCGCTAAAGTCTAGGTTCCCAGCTTGAGGCCCCCAACATTCCCCAAGCTGCATCACCCTGTGTTGGTAGCTGACACGAGGATTGGGTTGAGTTGTGCCTGACTCTATGTGGCACAATTGTCGCACAGATGCTGCAAGTGACCCTGAGTAGCTGTGGAAACGTTCAACCATCTACTGGGGTCATGCTGCAAGATGTCTCTCCCTATTTTGTGATACTATGACATGTTCCGGCTCACGGTAGCTAGACATGGTTGTAGGACCATGCTTCGCGATGAGGCCGCGAAAGACCCGCGAAAGATATCTTCTTTTCCGCGATGAATGGCCATTCCAGGATGAAAGAATATTGATCAACCACCATATACATAAGTAAATATACTGTAATATATATATATATATATACTGATTTGAAATTCAACACTCCCTTTCGACAGGTCCTTTAAGGATTGCTTTCTTCAGACACTGTGGCTAGCCACGCGACCAAAACGCCACAGCCAGTGCACCAGGACAGCTCCAGCTCAGTGGCCACCACGGCCAGCATGGCCACCATGGGCACCATCTCTCCCAGTCACAGCTTTGGCCACTGGGCTGAACTGGCGCGCATCGGAGCGGTTGCGATCCGGTGTGGGCGGCCAGACGGATCGAAGTCTTTGACACAGGAAGTCACGAACATCATACACAATGATATATTCGGATATATTCGGATATCTTCGGGCTTTGGACGTCACAAATAGTTATATAGAACATCATCTTTCGCTCGTGATTTGTTTGGAGTTCTGCCATGGGCCATGTTAACTTCTTGACATCGTGAGTCCGAGTGTTGCGGTCCGACGACTGTTGTGTTTGACTGGTTTCAGATTACTCGAGTCCAGGACCCTGTGAAGATGCATTTTGACAGCCTTGGGGTATTGACATAGGAGAGGTGGAACAGTGGTACTGCTAAAGCCACTTCAGCTTCATGTTCTGAAGAATAGGAGAAACACCATGGTGCAGGGAGATGAGGCAATGCAGGCTGTCAAGTTCTATGTGTCCAGATGTCATATAGTCCTATAAACATATTGGTTGCATTGTCATGTCTTTACACCGTTCCGATTTGCGCAGAGCCTTGATGGTCAAATTTGGGAAAGGCATTGTGATCCAGTTCCAGCGACCTCGGCCCGTCCCGCCAGGTGAGTTGCCCTTCAGCCATTCGGATAGCGGCTATTCGTCTCGCCAAGCGATACTGGCACGGTAGAACATGGGCCAGGAACAGATGGTTTCCATGGAAGGAGAGCCAAGAGAGGCCAAGCGATCCACACATGGGCCTGTTTGTTCTGCATCGGGTTGGACCCAAGGTATCTGTTAAACTCTGAAAGAACACCAGATACTGCCCTTAGTTCCATTACTTTTGTATACCTTTTTGGGTGCCAGTGGCTTGGGTCCTCAAAAAAAGCCGCTGTGATCGGCTCATGCTCCCGTGGCGTACGACATGGCGATGACTGTGCATGCTTGGGCACGGTAAGTTGGGCCGAGGAACAGGGCGAAAGAATTGGGAGATCTCCGACCCCATCCAACTCCTGGTTTGTGCACAAACTGATGCAAGAAAGGCCTCCTCAAAGCGAAAGGCTTAGCCTATGACGTCTATGAGCTAGCCTGAAATAAGAACCACCAGGTCACACGCCGAACGTGACGTCTCAACTCTCCACGCCGAACACAACAGACACGTTCGCTTCAGATACATGAGTCCACATAGAGCACAGATCCAACATGGTGGCCACCGTGTAATCCGAAGTCCCGGAGAAGTGTCCAGGTGTAGGCCAAACTGGGGGGTTCATGATGCACCAACAAACATACTAACAAACAACCAGTAAGTCCAGCTGTCCCCACTCTGAGATTCCCGCTTTCGCCACAACGGGATGTTATTGGCACACGCCCAAGCCGGGTTCGGAAAAAACATGTACGAAAAATCGTTGGATTTCAATATGTATTTCATGACTGCTGCTGCTGATTTCTGGCTTCCGGGCTTGCAAGATCATTTGGTTCATGACATGTCAACCAAGGTGTGTGTAACACCCATCTGGAATCTCATCAGAGGACCATATATCAACGAAAGTCCTTCACAATGGGGTCAGGACTCAGTAATATGTTCATTGCCAAAACATTCATATACACCTTAAGGCAGCCCTTTCGTTCTTCCGCGGTCAACCAGATCCTGGGTAAGTCTGCCCGCATCGCCCATCGCTTGACGACCTTCGGAAAGTTGGAAAGCCGATCAGCAGCGTCATATCATTCTGGTGCCCCTGCACCACACTTTTCGATGCGCCGTCAGCCTAGCATTGAGCACCCAGCTCGACCCACGAGGGTCGGACCAAGCGGACTTGTTAGGACTTGATATGTTTGCCGAGTTGACCTCTCAGCTTCCGGAAACAACTACTTGTAAGCTGGGCCATGGTATATAGTGGTAATAGACTATAGACTTGGTAAGGTCACGCCTGGAAGGAGCGCAGCAACATCACACTTTTCTGTTGGCGGGGAAGCGTCTGACCAATTTGTTTGTGAGGAAATCATGAGACATCTCCATTTTGTTGCCAAGGGGGTTTACTTCAGCGTGGTTTTTGGCGCCAGTATTCGTGGTTCAATGGTCAGCAGATGCCATCCGGAAGGTAGGGAGCTTCAAATATTTCCCAAGATCTCTGAACCCAGCTTGCCAGCTTTTCTCGAAGACAGGGAGACTTGCTGGGAATCCAAGTTTGTGCTCGGGTTGTTTTCTCAAGTTGGAACATCTGCAAGCAGGTTGGGAATGACATGGACTATCATGGACTGATACGAAAAATCATCAACATGAGAACTTTAGAGCTGGGTGCTGCTGACCCAGCGCGCTCCTGCTGAGCTATCCTCAGTGGGCCGGCGGATTTCTCCCCGACCTTCGGCTGCCCGCTCCCACAGTGGTTGGGCCCCACTCCCAGATGGACAAAGACATTGAAGGAAAAAATAACATGAAATGACCCGGCAGCTGGTTGCCATTGGTTGCCTCCCATTGCTTTTTTACTGAGAGTCAAAAAAAAGAGTCTCAGGGAAGTGACTGATAGCAGTGATGTCATCTATGTATGATTCCACCTCATTCCCACTTGTTGATTCCCACGTGTATATGTCTATGTTCTATTCCCACTTGTTGATTTCAGTGTCCAGCCTCTTTGGACCCGTCGGATTGGACGAACGTAGCCGCCCGCCGAATCGATCGTCCAGCCTCGCCTCGCCTCGCCCGCCGTGTGGGGCTTCGACCCGGGGGTTCCTCGGAATTCGGGCGGCAGCCGAATTCGAGTCTGACCATTTTTTTTGGGTTGTTTTTTGCCGCAAGTGGACATGGTAAGAGCATGTCCCGAGCTCTGTGTCCTTTCAATCGCCAGAGCATAAAAATATGCGTGGCGGCCGGTGATGCCCCTTGTCCATGAAGTACGTACTTGGCACCAAGCTAAGCTATACGTAGTTGCTTTGCACTCAGAGTCTTGCAAACATTTGCTCGCAGGATGTGACAGAGCATGTGAGCAACCATTGTCTTTGATCCGTCACTCGAGCATGGGCATCTATCTTGCGAGCATAGATCGAACCACCAACGGCAGCAATCCGTAGAATTCCCTAAGAATGAACAGTGACTCCCCATCATATCAGGCATTTGCCAAGGCCAAAACTCCGTGGAAGAAATACGCAGAAGGGTTTCGGTGAACATTTTGATCAGTCATAGACTTAAATCTAAGTTTAAATCCATTGACAAGTCCTCACGAGTAGCGATGCTTCGCAAGTGTTACTCCTGCATCAGGCATTCTTGAGTCTCTTGAATCTCTTAACTTCACCGAGAGGCATGGGTTAGCTCTTGCTTGGGCATGCCTAGGTCTAGGTCCATCAAACCATCACTAGTCAAGTGACTCGGATCGAGTCCAGCTAGTTTAGCACAGCCATGCTGAGATTTACAGGAGGACTTCCAATCGCGCAATTCGGCGCTGGCGGCGGTTTGGGTGGACTGATGCTGATAGACTGCAGAACAAAGTGGGTTCACCAGCATGTTCAGTTTTCAGGAGATTAAATATACATATATATATATCATACATTATCATACATTCTTAATTATCATATCATAATTACCATATCCGCATGAATGAATTGGTTGATCAGATTCACACGGCGGCCTCAAATGAACTGGGGAATTCACCGTTGAACACTGTGATGTCCGCCATCCTTTCATTACTTTTCGACCACCGGATGTCTGAACGAATCGTTGGTTTATCCTCACAAAGGTGACACCGAAGATCATGCCGACGAGAGATACGACTCGACCAGCCCATGAATGTCACACGATGTTTGATCGTTTTTTATCCACTCTTGGTCCACTGCAGGATGTGCGGAGAAACATACATTGGTTTTTGGATGTTTTTGGAAGTGTATCGGATTGAAGCTTTTAGGTCTCAAGGGGACACGCTCCAGCCGCTATCATTTGGGCCGCTTCATGCTATTGAGAAGCACGTAACCAAAACGCTTGCAAATAGCAAGCATTCACAGGTGTGGCCCAGAAGTGAGCTTCGCATAGGTGACGGGTAGCCAAGAAATGCACATATAATCTATCAAAATATTCAACATTAAAGTCACATCATAGATTTATTGTTTAATATTTACCATGTGTTTCAAGAACTTCGCGTGGTTGGGTGGTAGAATACCTTGGACCGTCGGGTTCTAAGACATCGCATTTGATCACAGAGATGGGCGCCAAACGGACAATCTGGGCTTCGCCAGTCGTTCGACGATCGCTTGGACCCACCTCCCTTCACCGGTGCCGGGTCATAGGGTGTTCGGGTCGGGGTTTGAGGTGGTGAGACATGGTGAGGTCGAGTCCGAAAAGTCAGGGTTTTCGATGATGAAGCCAAAAAGTCAACTGACTTGGAAAAGCCAAGTTAAGTCACTGACTTGGAAAGTCAGTGTCAAGACTTGGAAAACCAAGATGATGATGAAAACAGGTCCAAGTCTTGGTTTTCCCACAAAATGACACATCCCGTCTTGCTTTGCCTCGTCGACGCCGAACGTGGTCGACGTTTCAGGAGAGAAGGCGCCGACCCCTGGCTGGCTACTGGTGTTCTTCAGCAACATGTTCTTCGGTTGCGCAGGCACGAAGTCGCCGGAAGTCGCAGTCGCAGGTGCCCTGCAACAGGCTGTGCACGACACTTGGCTGTGCATGGAGGCATACGATAGATGTACACCGTGTGCATTCCAAGCCGACCCACCATCAAATCAGCTGGTCCTTCTCTTGGCTCAAGCAAAGCGACCGCCCCAAGCTGACGGCCTCATGAAGAGGCTTTCTGAATATTCTACTACAGTCGATCTTCTTCCAGATGTCATCAAAACTCACAGCAATGGTCCATCATGTTCCATCGCCAAGCTCGGTGGCGGCATGTGGCTGACGGTTGACTTGTCCCGAAGTCCGCCATGCTGCCACGCCCGCTGGTGTGTTCTGTTGAAGCTCGGCAGGTTGAATGAAAAGGAGCAGAGTTCATCGAGGAAAGCAAAGGCTTCCACACCAAGCTCAGTGTTTGCGTGGCTGTGCACTGTGCGCGGCCAGGCCGCGAATACCTGCTGTCGCATTGTTTGTTGGAAGATATGGTTTGATGAAGATCTTGGAGGAAGGCAAATGTTCCATCACCAGGCTGGGTGGCAGCATGACGGTTGACTTATCCCGAAGTCCGCCACGCTGCCATGCCTGCTGGTGTGTTCTGTGGCAGCTTGTCCTTTTGAATGGAACGGACCAGAGTTCTTGAAGGAGAAGGCTTCAATGCCCGAATGTTGGTTGTTACTTTGGCTCGGTCGGCCACCATGTGCCGGTGCTTTGGAAGCATGTGCATGTTCGTGCTTGCAGCAATGATTCATTGGCTAACCAGGATTTTCAATTTGAAGATGCACCTCTATAGACTTAGAGTCTTAATCTTTTGATATAGTTTTACAACGTTTCACAACAGTTTGACAGTATATTGTCGCATCGTCCACTGTTTCAGCAAGGCGACAACCCGATTCCCCTCCAGAGCTGTCGACTTGATGTGACTTGCGACCTGATGTAACGGAATTTGGACAGAATTGAATCATAAGTCATAAGTGTTTCTTTTTTGCGACATCATCTTTGGCAAAGATACTTGCCAGACGACGTTGGTCATTGACGGATTCACGTAGAAAAATCAGCTGCCGGGCGAGGGCATTGTTGCAGGGCCTTTGCTGAGCTCGTGGGCCGTGTTCAGCAGTGCCTCCTTACTTCTTGGAGACTCCAGCCATACCTTCTCAGGTGTAAAAGGCTGGTCCAACCTACGAGGGATGGCCTCCAACCTAATTACAGAGTGTTGACCGAGGAGCACCTATCATGCCTTTTTACGTGACTCGTAAGTTTATCAGGTTGGATCCCATTCACAACACTCTGGTGGTCGGTGAAAGAAAGCATCCCAGCTCCTCCGTTGTTCATCATGCAGCCGTGTTTTTTTGTTTCTTGGATTCAATTGCAACTGAACTGAGTTCAACACAGAGCTGCCAAAACCGTGGACAGATTTGTGGCCTGTTTTGCCCTGCCGCATCCTGCCATCGACGTCGACCAGGTTTTTCGATTGTTCTTCCGACTCTGTGGCCATACCTCCGCGAGATGCAGAGCAGCACTCAGTTTCTTGCTGCTGTTGTGGCCGCCTACAGCGTGGGCGAGGGCTTGGGAGGCCGAAGCAGAAGGATTCGAATTGTCGCCGAAAAGAAGAAGAAACGCACACATCACCCAAACGATGTATCTATATGGAAACCTCTACACAGTTGGAAGAGTTGTGCCCAAGTCAAACAGTGGAATCATGTGGAATCTAAAGACTGGTTGTGGTTAGTGCGCATTTTTTGCTGAGTGTTCCCAGCCCAGGTTTGTATCCGGATGCCACACATGCCTAGCTTGATCCTTGAGCAAACAATCAATGTGCAAATGGTAGCTCATGTCGAGACAGGTCAAGAGCCAAGAATCATACTACGATGCTTCTTGCTTGGTTCACAAACAGAAAAGACAAACATTTTGCGTTGTTGCTGTTCGTGTTGGGTCCTAGCCGGGCCTACATTGACATACAAGACCGTCGTCTTCCCAACCAATTGGTGCTGTGTATTTGACATACTGGCCATGCAGTTGGGGAGTTGTGTGCAAGCGAAAAACTACATGTTGAGGGTCAGCACCTTTCCCGTGATATCTTCTGTGACAAGTCAAAATCAAGACGATGTAGACGTGTCAACCACTTGAGACATCCGCGTCCAACCACTGCGTTGCCACTGCGTTGTTCCAGTAAAGAAGTCTGTGCTTTTTCGCACCCAGATTTTGAGGCAACCTCACCAAATTTGAGGCAAACAGTTAGGTTCGTCCAGTTGGTCGTCCAGCTTACGTCCTTCGATCGACCCGCCAGGATGGATCAGTGGTCTCCTGTATAGCCGATTCCCAAAGCATCCCAAGCGACTGCTTCAAGGAGGAAGCTTGAAGAACTGCAGAACGTCACTGTTGGACTGCTCATGTTCTGAATCAGGCTTAGGTACTGTAGGCCTGCAGCTATTCAAGCCTGTAGGATGTTGTGTATATGTATTGAGTTGACTAGAGTGGTGGGCCATGCGTGGAAAGCTTATACAAGACTTGTCAGAAATCACCCGGACATCTAGAACAAAAACACTTCTGAAGTTCCGAATGACGCGGTTTAATTAATGCAGTCAATCCGATTGTCCCTCAGAGAAATCCACTTGGAATCACTTGGACTTCAACCATGAGCCTCTTTAATGGTTGGTCTTGAGGCCGGTATTTGCCTTCAGGGTTTCTCTTGCTGTGCTTGAAGAGCCGTGGGCTGTTCTAGGTGTGAAGCATGTGCAGCTGGTTGTGTATAGGGCCTTGAGGTAAAGTCAGTCCCTCCAGCAATTGTGATCTAAGCCTGTCCATCTGAGGAATGCTCCTCGGAATGCTGGCCGCCTTTTCTTATGCCACTTGACACAGGATGACTGTGGACCAGATGTGTTTGCCTTCAGGATTTGTTTGGAGTGTCCACGGTATGTTCAGCCATCAGAGAGTGTGTTAGCAAAGCACATCCGTTGCCCCTTACATACCCAAAGTGGGATAATGCTGTCCACTAACTTCTTCACAAGGAGTGAGAAGGGTTTAACTCGCTGCCCTTTTGATGGCTTCTGTGATGTTGTTCACCCCGTGGCCCAATATGATGAAACCAACATCTTGGACCAGCTGTATGGCTTTAGGTGTCTGAAATGGGTGGAAAAGATGGAGACCTGAGCCAAAATTGTTTTGTTTGGTAGAGCCTTCCAGTTTGATGAATTCAATGGCATTTGGCTGCACGAAGTGTCAAACGGAGGTGGGTCCTTCATGTGTTTCTCTTCAATGGAATTCTACATCCCTTTACCGCATTTACCGCTTCCAAGATCGGTCACGGTCACCTGTCGGCACCCCATGCTGTCGCTTCCGCTCGCTGCAGGCCGTCGCACGACCTTTCGGTTCCGTGGCTCCATACATCGTCCTCTTGGCGCGCTTCTGCTCGGGCTTCGACAACGGAACGCGGCAGGTGCCAAGAACCCGCGGGGATGACGCGTCTGGACGCGACGTGATGTTTGCCCACCGTTTTCCTTCCGTGCGGGGTCGAAGACTAAATCGTAGTGATGTTTGCTACTCTGGACTCACTAAGATGGAACTGGAACAGGGCCGCGCAGAGAATGTGGGCGCAGACCATCTTCCGCTATACACAGGTGGATGTTTGTTTCCGTCAATCGACGCGTATATTAATGTATATTATATATATACATAGATATTTTATAAATACTTTTTATACATAGCTTTGTACATATAGCTTTAGGATCTTCAAGACCACCTTGTTCAAATGGCAGCGACTTGGTTACTTGACTCGACTGGCCTCCTTGGTCCAGACCATCGAGCAGACCTTCCTGGCCAGCCGGATCCCTCCACAGCACCAGACGACCTGCTCTTCTCGGCTCGCGAGCTGCGCCATCACAGGCACGCAAAGTGGTTCGCACCTGGAAAAGTTCAAAAAACATTGAAAGACTTGAAAGAAGGTACTGTTCGTTGCATGCTGCTAATGATGGTGGATGGACAGTGGATGGACTCCCGATCTAAAACCTCTTGAGCTTCAGATCCTGGATGAATGAAAGAAATTTGTCAGGCCTCAAGCAAGCGGTGTTGAGACATTCTGAAAGGTCAACAGTTAACTGTCAACTGGCTTGAAATAAGCATTTTAGGCCACAGATATGTTTGGGCTGTTTTGACCGTTTTTCTTTTGTCACTTGACACTCAAGTCGTCTCTGTTCAACAGAGTATTGGGCATGGAAGGAGTAACAACTCGTTATATACCTGCAGTTATACCTACAAGAATGGGTGTATGTAACCTGTATTTGGCAATTCCCAGTTTTTTGCGTGTCCTTCCTCCCCGAAAACTCGCTTCACCAGGCATCATGATGGGCCCCGCTTTAGGTGCTCCCTTGCAACTTGGAGCTGCAAGCATCTTTGTGGCTACTTGCTCCTAGTAGTATGGCCAGGAGCCCCTAGTAGCGTTCTTGTTCCTAGTAGCGATGCCACAAGCCCCTAGTAGCGTCCTAGTTGCATTTTTGAGTGAAAATCGTTCGATATCTTGGTTTAGATCCTTGCAAACGAGAATCGCCAAAGATCATCAAGTAACTAGCGACTGCAAAGTTAAACACATGTCTTACCTTGTCTTACATATTCTTATATATTCAATTATATGCACATGTACATAATTTAATATCAACATATGTTTTCTTGTATATGTGCTTTTAGTTTTAAACGCATGGACACTTTTCCTCTTTGGAAATCACTATGTGCAAGATGTTACATTTGGTGATAGCATTTGCTTCCGTCGAAAGCAGACGTTGTTTCACTCGCCCGGGCAGCGAGCCGCCGTCAGGCAAGCGATTGACTTCCAGCTCATGGGTGTGACGATCGACGGCAACAACGGACCCGGACTGGTGCTTTTCCTCGTTTCCCTGGCGAACATGGGAAAAGAGGCGAAGAGTTACGAGTTGTTTTGGGGAGCTCAGGAGATTGAAGAGAGTAGGATATGTTGAAAAGAGCCGTCAAAAGACCTCCGGAAACCGCAGGCAACCAACACGATCAGTTTTTGGGATGTTCTACGTAACTAGGGACATCGAGCTCCGCAATTGGAAGAGGAAGACCTACGGACCTAAAGAAGGCATGGTCCGGAAACATGAAGGACAGTCCTGAAAGTGCAACTCGTAATTGAGGTTGTTGTCGTTTTTTTTGCGGGGATTCCTGTCCCTGCTTGCAGGGAACCATTGGATGCTGAAAGCAACCTTGAAGAAAGATCAGAATCAATCTGTCATTGTTGACCAAAAAAAAAATACCCGTGCCATTTTTACAGTCAAGGTAACCCCCAACGTTGGGTTACTTTTGGGAGAAGGAAGCGACATTGTGTTGGCTTTGCCCAAACCAGGCCGTAAGCAGAACGGACTCGTCCCCCGCACATCGGCCCAAACCGGCCCAAACCCTGCACTGCAGAGGTTCTTGTTCCAAGCGAAACCCGGTCGATGACTGACCACGTTTGGTTCAGAAACAGTGCTTTCTTCTTGGATGAGATGTGTTTCATTTCTTCTCTCCAAGGTTTGCATCGCCAACTTCACGGTGACGTCCTTCTTCTTCAGCGGGAAAGGCCACCCAAGACGACTCGTTTGCAGGTCGGTGGCCCACCGGTAGGTAAATGGAACATGGACAATATATATATGGACACCCCCGCCATGATCTACCTAGAGACTATTTTTGTTTAATTTTTGTGTGCGCCTGCCCACACAAAAGCTATTTTTTGAACCTATGAGAAGTCAGTCGCCCCTCAATAGCAGACAACTACAAATGCATGTTCAAAAAAGTGCTAAAAACCGTTGTTTTGTGAAGGGTGTTTAATAACATGTGTTTAAACATGCTACATTTTGGACCAACAACAAAAACAAAAAACAAGACACAAAAGACATATGGAAAAATCTGGGTAGTTGAGGTTTATTTGTTGTTTTTGTGGTTGCGAAAATCGAAAAATAAAGGGGATCAAACAACAACAAAAAGAAACAATACAAAACAACTCAACCCAGATTTCTAATATATACATATATATCAATGTTTGTTGTTTTTATTTGATTGATTTCATTAATTTTTTTTTTTACCCCCTTCTTAGATCTTGTATTGCAAAAATCCATTCCACACAGGGGCCCAGGGTGCAGCCCAGTACAGAAAAGCAGCTGAGAAGCAGGAAAAGGTAGAAGAGCTGAAAAGCAGGAAAAAGTAGATCATGCGGGGGTTGTCCATAAATAGATTGGATGTTTACGGATTTCTGATTTTTCGCCTTTGTGTTTATCCTTTTGGTTGAGTCAAAAGCAAACAGTTGCTCACACCGACTTTACGGAGATTGCAGATTCCATTTCGCAGATTTGGGAAGGCTGCATGAAGGTCCTTTTCGACATTGGCAACACACAGGTTCAGCATGTTTCAGCTAGATGACTGGTCCTGTGGTGCAAGGACATTGACACAGAACATTCTACCAACGTATCTACAAAGTAGATGGCAGAGCAACCATGGCTGGACTTAGCACTCGGATAGCTGAACAATAAACAGGCAGAACGTATCATTTACGTTGCATTTCCTTCGTATCATATTGTGTAAGCCTGGTCCAATCGCCAAATACACAATGTTGTGATCTGTCATGTGTTTATTCATTCATAGGTGTTTGTTGCTTCCAAAACCCGATGTTCATGGGTTGCTTAGTGGACTTCTGTGGACGTGCAGCTGTCAAGATCGATCCACTGGACATTAAGGGTTGAGAACTCCTCTTCGATGCACTTCATCAACATGCACCGACTTGAAGATGTCAACGGAGCTCCCGAAGCTGCGATGACCCGAAACACTTCACAGTCCTCGTCCATCCGGGCAATCCTTTGGCAGTCCTTTCGAGGCCAGTCCTATTCGACTCAAACCAGTAGCGTGAGCATTAACTTGGAGGACACCCCGCCACCTGATCCACGGGGCCTTCTTGCGCCTAGGCTGAAGGGATGGTCAAGCTGCGGTTAGTAGGATCTCGGATCCATCTGATTGAACAAGCCAAGGAAGGAATCACCGCCTACATTTGGTTGTAGGATGTTGTAGGTGGCTGCTATTGGGCAATGCTAGGCATTGTCAAAAGGCACAAAGAGGTGTGACCTAAGAGCAGGCTGTTATTTTGGACCTTCGGACTTCTTTGATGCATCCTGCTGATCTATGGTGCTTCGCAATCCTTTTTGAACAGAGCATGGTGGTCGTTGGAGCAGAGAGCCATTGAGGACACTGTGTTCTTTGATCAGGTACTCTGTTTTCTTGTTCAGTCAGCAGTTGGGTTTTTGCCAAGTACAACCCTTACCACGATGGCACTCCGACTTGCCCTCTTTGCGGACCCGACTGGCAAAAACCCGGATGTCGTGCAAACCACAAAAAAGAAGAGAGAGGAACACTGTGAGGGCCCGCAGTGTTTTTGTGTGTTTTTTACTAGATTTGGGCCTGTTACACAAAGGATATGAAGTCTGTGGTGAAACAGCTGGTCTTGCATCATATGTTCCAGCTTCAAAACAATAGAATTGATGCTAAGAGTTGTGAAGCAGCTAACCTAAACTTTGACCAAACATATATTGTTATTGATCTTTCTGGTATCAACTTCAAAGTAATGTGATAACCTATTAGTAGGCCATACAAATAGTATTGTGCAACCATTATCAATTTCTGTCAGATATGACTTTTGCTTGCTAATGCAAGTAATATCCTAATCATTGTTTGGTTCACTTTCTCAATGCCACTCACAACATCATCAGTATCAGTATCATACTCATCATTTTGAATGTATCTATCTTTAGACGTTGAAGTTTCTACAATTTGATTTTCTACAACTTGGTAAAATTCATTAGGCAATAGTTTTTTAGAAACACTGGAAAACGCAGGCCCCCACCGCGTGCCTTTCTGAAAAAGAAAAGGGGATCATTTGAGATCTACTGTAGTAGGTTCAGGCCATCGCTAGTCCTCTAACCTATATAGCGATGGCCTCCAACCTAGTAATTAGCGATGCGCCTCCATCCTACTAGCGATGGCCTCCAACCTATACTAGCGACGGCCTCCAATTTAGAAACGAAAAAGAACAGGTACATCGCTCCTTGTTCATTCGCATCGCCTACATCCAGGTGTGCTACATGGTCTTCTTCGGTGTGAACGTCAACATGGCCAGTCTGGAAACCGTGACACCTGTGGTGGCGCAGAGGCAATTGCTGAAGGAATCCGTTTGGGATTCAATAGCTGGCCACGTCTGAAAGATCCTGAATCCAAAAGGTCATGTCTCAAGTAAGTAGATGTTTTTTGTTAGGTATTGGTCTCCCTTGCTCAGAAGGACGCTTGTGAATCCTGACGCATCTGACCAAAACAATCACAAAACCGTCACCGGTGTCTCACCAGGCTTTATGGCTGGGGACCTTGCTTGCATCCTGCAGAGTGTACTTTCCAGGCTGGGGAGAGTTCGTTCGAGAGGTGTGGTCCCAGACTTGGTGACCTCTTTCGAACTCAGCCGATTCCGGGGCGATTCCAACCGATTCGGCACGCGATTCATTTCGTTGCTTCGAACGTCGATGATTTTTCGGACTCCGCATAAGCTCGGATGGGCTCCAGGTGTCACAGACCTACACCAATGGGTTGATGTCGGCGGGCGGGTTCTTGAGCTTGGCGCCTTGGGATGCAGAGGGGAGGCACTGAAGCTTGGATGAGGTGGGTGCTGGAAACAAAACCCAGGCATTGAAGTGCACCAAACCGTTTACCTCATGCTGAAGTTCTTTTGCTCTCATATTTAGTTATTTAGTTATTTATCAGTAGACTGAGACTACTCCCTTGACTTTCGGCGGGTTTTTTGGTGTTCACCGTATGTTTATTCCTTTTTGTTTGAGGCGTTTGTGTCTTTTCTTTGTCCTTTTTGGAAACCTGGCGGATCTGATTTTCCGTCACCTCCAGACCATGGCCGCGTTGATGTCCTTCTTTGGCGCACACATCTATCGCCGGGAGATTCTGGTGATCACCGTGAGCTACACCGTCTCGGACGCTGAGCAAGTGAAAACTGCGTGGCAATGGGGCCAGAGTGGGGGTGGGATTGGGGGGTGGTGGTTCACTCTGTAGAACAAGAGACGGATGTAGTTCAGAGAAAGTGCCAGAAGGGGGTTTGGCACACTAGTTACTGGTGTTTCTTACTCGCCGGTGACACGGCTGACGATCGGCCTTTTTGCTCGTTCCTTCTGACGAGTCCAGGGCCTACCTCTATTCAATTCTATTCTGAATCAACACCTATCAGATGGAGCAAAACTGCTGGAAGAACTCGTGTGAGTTCGACTCCTTTTTTCTTTGATCTTTTTGTGAAGGTAACCAGGTTATACCGCGGAAGTCCGAAGTCCAAACGAATGTTCAACGTCTTGAGCTGGAGAACTATGGAGAACTGGTATGAACTGGTTAACTTTTGAATTACCCTGGCATTTTTCAAGGTTTGCAAGAGGTATGTATTGTTCAGATACTTACTTGAAATGAGACAGTTGTGTACAAGGTACTATAGAGGATGCATTCTGTAACCGGTCTGGTTGTTGTTGTTGTTGTTGTTGTTGTTGTTGTTGTTGTTGTTGATCGGTGATCGTGATATGTTCCTCAGGGCGAAGATTGCTGATTTACTCAACCTGTTGTTGCAGCGCGTTTCCTTGAAACGGCCTGCATTGGCTGTGTGTGGAGACACCTATCCGTGGCTTACGTATGCTTACGTATGCTTACATAACTTATGTATGTCGACTCAAAGCAGGCTCACATGTTGTCCACAACTGTGAATTCTCTCAGGCTTTAGCAGTGTGCCATCGTCTCATTTTGAGCTTACAATGTGGACATGGTGTTCATATGTGTTCATCAGTTCCCTGTGCAGTCCGGCCGTGGAATCATGTGGAGTCAAACATAGTGCAAATTTACACATGGATAAACCTGCACCTGTGGACCCAACAATTGACGCATAATGGGAATGCTTTTTGATGCTTTTCTGCAGAGCGGGTGTCATTGAGAGAAAGCGGATAAGCATATTGATTGTGAACAAAACCCTCAAACAGACTAATTATATACTGTATATATCATATCTGTAAATACTGTGTGTTGTTCTTTTCAGATCCCACTCTTAGAACATTCTTTTAGGTTGATCTGATTGCATGGTTTTCTTCGGGCAACAGGCGATGATCAACTTGGGGAATATGGACTTTGGAGGACATTTGCCGGTCACCCGCTTTGTGGGCGATTATTTACTCGGAGTCTCTCGGCCGATTCTCTCATGTGCTGAAACATCTAAGAACACATTGTTTTGGAGTGTCAACATTTGTGCGAACGATGTTTGTTTAAGTGTCTTCAATAGCTTTTCGAGGAATGTCATTGTTTAGTATTGTTAAGGAATACTGTAGACAGGTGCGAAAAGGTGCCTGCGTTGATCTACATGATTGGGTTTCAAAGGTAATGTATGAATATTGATTATAATAGATTATACATATATATATATAATGAAATTAACCTTGACTAATTTGGTTTATCTGGGCAAAACAAGAAGCTCATCCTGACTGTCCTGGTCTTGCAGATTCACACACACAGACGCTCACAGCTCAGCACCCTCGAATACGAGGAAGTGAAACGGCTTTGTTGACATTTGAGGCCTTCTTTGGTAGCCTGGCCAGGGGCCCTGGCATTGCACTTCTCAGCCAAGTTCTTGGTCCTCATCCTTCGGCAGCTTCTTGGCTCTTGCCCGATCATTTGTTGGCTTCAACACCGGAGGGGTTCTTGAAAATCAGGTTGAATATCTCCTACCAAGGAGCAAGGCTATTGAAGTGATGCACTTCCCGGTGGCAAGGATAGCTCCTCTCCTACAAAGGGCATTGCTTTCGGTGCCCTGTTTCTGGTCCACACATGTCCGCACATTCATTTGTTTCTTCCTTTCTTGCTTTGTCGGGCACCGTGGTTGGACCATACTCCCTGCAATCACCAATCACACAACTGATTCTTGGCAGTGACCGATGCGACCGATGTGGTTTTGTCTATTCAATTTGGTCCAGCTGCCGACTGAGTCTACATGTCAGGCAAGCAGGTCGGCACAAAATCATACAAAATCACTGTCTGTGAGCTTCATGGTGCAAGGTGCGACAATTCCGCGCACCACACCCAGAAGGTCTGTTGAAATATGTGTTTGCTATGATGCATGGGGATCACTACTTCTTTTTGTTTTTTTTTCTCTCTCTCTCTCTCTCTCTTTTTTTCTCTCTCTCTCTCTCTCTCTCTCTCCCTCTCTTTGTACAGAGGTACAGTTCCTAACGAGAAGCCTTGGGTCAGGTTCCGGGGTCTATATATATATATATCAAGTCAATTTATTTGCTCGTGATGTGGTTTGGAAGTGGCAAGAAGACACGGACGCTCCATAGCAAGACTGGCGGGCTCAGACTACAATCGGTCATATCCTTGCAGTTTGCATCGAGTTTCCATGCCAATCCTGAAATGCTGACTATAGTGATTGTGGGCTGACAGGCCTGCGGGGTTTCACTGAGGTAGCCCATCCCCAAGAACTGATTGACTTGTCTTATTGTCTATAAGCCATCTCATGGATTCATTGTTGTTTAGGTTCAAAGAATAATATACAACTATATATATATATATCATCAGTTATAATCATATATGTTTCGACTGTCATGTTGTCTTTTTGACATGGCAGTTCTTCACTGTGACCTCTCAGGGCTATATGGGTGTGCTCTTTATGGTAGGCGCTCTTCCACGAGTGCTGGGACCTTTTCTTTTCGTGGAGCCTTGGAGCGTCCGATGCGGATGTCCGCCGTTCTCGTTATTCTCGAGAAATTGGTGTTTTCTGGGTGCCGGGGTTTCGCAGGTTTCTGAAGAAATCTGGAGTAGATCCATAGTAGGAAGGAGTATGCAGAGGGTTTTGTGAAGCTTTCGACCTGTGCTTCACACTTGGTGTTCCATGGATGGCTTTAGTGCCTGAGAGTTGTGACTGGAGACCTATCAGGTGCCTGAGAGTTGAGACATAGGAGATTTCCTCCAGACCCCTTTTGGACCATTTCCTTGCCCATTTGGTCCCTGTATAGTGCTTGAGATCTTGGTGGTGTGTTCTTCTGTTTCGCGTGGCCCAGGAGTTGCTCGAGATACCGGAGCCCATGTATCTGGCACACTACAGAGATGTCTACCAGGCCGACCAGACTGGTTGATCTTTGTCATGATGCCTGGGTCAACTTGAAGTCGAATGAGATTGGGAAGTCCCTCTCAAAAGGCAACATCCGCCCGCAATGGACCTCATCAATCGGGTGTTGATCATGTTTCATAGGTGCATGAATACAAATTGATCATCATGTCCGAGAATCTGACAATCATGTCACATGATCTGACAATCAGTTGGCGCTCGATGCTGATGCAGACACAGCTCGCAGCAAGTAACACAGAGCGAGCATCGTCATTCACATCCTGGATTTAAGACTTTGCTGAGGGACTGATCCCGCGCACCTGGCTACTCTACGGATGCCAAGCTGTGCCAGGGACTGCAATATGAGGATCCGCCCAGGCTTGAGCTCAAGCAAGATGGATTTCAGATCAGCAAGTCAGGGTCAGAAGTCAGAGTCCCTTTCAGCAGGAAGTGCAGAGTTGACTTCGTCATGTTTTTACTCAAAGACTGACTGACCTATAAAATGCGCTTGAGACGTACTCTTTTACTACGTCCTTCAGCTGATACCAGCTGGCTTTGACCGGGAAAACCCAAAGGTTGTCCACCAGCTGATTAAGAGCCACGGTACTTTGGCACTTTTGGCTGGGGTTGCGCCAACTTCAAGTTTCACAATGGCACTGGGCTCCACAATACCACTTTATAGAATGCATCCCTATAGTTCTTCAGTTCTGAAAGTATATATACTTATAGATATACATTTATATTTATATCCCATCCAACCCTAACCAGATTCTTTTCAAAGGCTGGATTGACATTGGACAAGACCTGGTTGAAGTTGGATAAGATTCATTTTGAAACTCATTTGAAAGCTTTGTTGCAGTCTTGGAGTGCTCCATCTCAGGCCTTCTTCATGACCGTGCTTGTCTTACTCCAGACGTCTAGGTGCGGGTTTGGGTTGCAGGACCCCCCGTCAGACCCTGTCAACAAACCAAAGTCATATTATCTAGGGGTCTCCCTCTTCCAGTTACCCTTTGAGTGCTTGGCAAACAGAGTTTACTCGTGGCGTTCAAGCAGTGGGTCACATGTTCTTGCATCTTCTGTTCGTGGGTATAATCTTTGGGTCACTAGGAACATCCAATTGCCAATCCAGTGGTCCATACTACTGCCTGCAGTTCCGTCCAGTGCTGGTGGTAGTGCCTGTGCTGGATTTGCGAGGCACTGTGCTTGGCCTGTCCTGCTGTGCTTGGCCTGTCCTGCCTGTCGTATCAGAGTGGGAGGCCATTGCTAGTAGGTTGGAGGCGCTCTTGCATCAGGTCACATTTGGCACCGCATCCGACCGCAACTGGACTGCGCCAGCCGCTGCTGTCAACCCCCGAGACTTGCGCTCCTAGGCACTGTTCATTGTTTTTTTGTTGGGGGCTACCCTTTGACTCACTAGTATGGCAAGTGGAAAGCCACCTGTTTGTGGAGGAACATGTTCTTCCCAGTGGCCATTGTCCATTTCCATGTTAGTGAGCCAGAGAGTACACCCGTTGGCACTGCTATATGTCTAAGAGTCACCGGGTTGAGCCCTGAACACCTCCACCCAATCCAAGGCGGGTGTGTGTCTCACAGGCAAACCGCAAACCCCTCAGACCCTGGCAGCAGAGCAACAAAAAAAGAGACAAACTACATCTGAGGGTGTCTTAATATCTCTATCAAAGAAAAGGCGTTTCCCACGGGTCCTGAAAGTGTTAGTGTTAGTATGTGTTAGTGTTGTTTTGTGTAGTTGTTCTTGTTCTTGTTCTTTTTTTGTTGTTGTTTGGTGGTGGTGGTGGTGGTGGTGGTGGTGGTGGTTTTTGTATGTTACACATCATACAGTATATACAATCCTAACTGGTCATAATACCAATCGGCTGGTAGCACACTGCATGTGATTTTGTCCAAATCGCTCCTGAGGGTGCAACCACTCAGATCGCCCTGTGTCCACCAGGTTCAGATCGGATTGAGTCCTGGCACTCCTTGCCAGGCCTGGAGTGATCTAGAGGGAAGAGACTTGTTTGGCATGTTACATGTCTGGAGGTGCCAGGTTAAGAACCGTTTTGGATCGGTTTGGAGCAGCATTCTGCTCAAGTGGACTGTGAACGATGGTGATTTGATCAGACATCTCCTGTGTAGATGTAGATATATAGGGAATCGCACTTTGATTGCACTCGCAAAACACCTTTGATATGCAATCAATTTGTGATCTCTACTTGGGAAATGCCATCAGCCACTTGATCCTAGAGCGTGATTCCCTATATATATATATATGAATACCCTTAAGCACCCACGGTTGGAAGGAACTCTTCCAGGGCGAACGAAGACACCAGTCGCGACCGCATCGGGTGAACGAAGACACCGCCGGCGTCGTCGCTGGCGCATGGTGCACACGAATCCGAACATCGCCAGGTACGAGAGGGAATCAGTGGCCTGAAAGAGTTGTCCCGACGTTTTGGCAAGAGTCTCAGCAGTCTAGGGGAACAGAGTCCCCAAGTATAAGTAGTGGTGACAGTGATCGTGTTTCTATATGTGTGTTTCCGTCCCTTAGTCTTCCCAAGTTGTGTAGAGTCTTTGTGATTTTTGACATCCACTGCAAGGCTAAGGGGCCCTTTTGGATCAAGGCAATGACCTTCCAATGCTGTTCTTTTGTGCCCTCGCCCAGTTTGTGCAGTTTTTTGTACAGTCGACTTGGCGAGCACAGAAAGGTACAGATTTGGATTTGATGTACGTTGACATATACAACTCTTAATTTGTTTATCCGAGAGGGTCCAGTCGCAGCAGAATCGCATGCGATTCGGATTGTAAAGATGCGACTTCGACGAAAATGGTACTTCTCAGGGCAAAGACAATTTTTTGACTCAGCATCCATGGCATGGCATCTTTTTATTGGGGGTGTTGAAAAGGGGTCAATGCAGTACATGCCAGTCCCATGGAGCGTCTGGACATGTTCTTTCGCCAGGGTTTTGCCCGGAAAACTCCGCCTTGAGACGCCACTTCTTTCGAAAAACCAAGCCTGGCCTTTCCCAAAGGCCAGTTTCTTTGTTTTTTAATGCCTTGAACCGCGGGAAGCTTGAACTGTTGAGCTAGCTCAGTTGTAGCTCAGTGTTTCTTTCTCCAAACCAAGGATGTGGATGTTCGGAGAGTGGATCGATCCGTTTTGATTTTTGCTTGGGCTCTTGGATCGAGCCAGCTTGGTAGTAGCAAATTAAGGCGTCATGGCGGAAGAAGCAAGAGATGCAACATTGGAACCCCACATGTTTGCCACCTGACTTCCGGAGTGCCGGAGGCCAAACTCAACAGGAAGCGCAGGAAGAGTGTGACGGAATCAAGCAGCAACAGCAGGAATGGATCCCGATTGCAACAACATGTTATACCAACATGCACCAGGACTGGGCTCTTTAGACGCAAAAATACACGTCAGAAGGGGTGCACAAGTAGGAGACCGCACTTTGGGGAGACAACTTGAGGCAACTAGGACTAGGGTGACTAGGGTTCACAAACTAGATGCATATTAATATATATATATAAGTCCTGAGATGCTCAGCTCAGAAAGAAATGGAAGTCCGGAATGAGAAAGCAGTTGAAAGCCATCAACTGATGATTTGGGAAGTTTGTTGCTATGGTTTTGCTTTTCACACAGATCTTGGACCAAGAAGAGCGCCCCAAAACCAAGGAATCAGACTATGCGACTTCAGCTTGTGAAGGGTTCTCCCGTGGTTTCCTCCTCCTTTTGAATCCGCAACACCTCAGTGTAGAGTTACAAGACAACCAAAGACAACAAGAAAGCAGACAATCCAATGTATTCGCTTCAGAAGGCTTTGGGCCATGTGTCGCGAGCGCTTTGGTGCCGGACGCAGACAACACCTGCGGGCCGGGCCTTTGCTCGGCGTCACATTAGTCAATTGGGTCAACATATGCAGAAGAGGGGGTCAGGTGTGGAAAGCATTCTTTTGAAGACGTAGAGCGGATGCATGGGGTAGCTCGGCCCGGAGACCGGCCACTCCCGAACCAAGCATGATTTGAAGGAAGCAGAAGGACTAGGACAGGATTGATTTCATAGAATTTTGACCAGAGAAGCAATCGATGATCCTTTTTGGTGATTCCATGTTTGCCAGTATACATAGTGGCAAAATAGACGGAGAAATGCTTCACTTGGTTCCTAAGAGTGATCCGCTGGGCTCTTGTTCAAAGTGATCCGCTGCCAAAGATGGTTATGCTTTGATTTCATCATTTCAAGGCTGTTTGGCAAAGATGTTATCTCATGATGTCTCATGTACTTTTGCAGTCGTGGCAGTTTCACAACGCTTTGCATGATGTCCAGGATTCAGTTCACCCATCTAAGGTGAGTCGGGGGAGCAGACCTTCGCCAATGTCGTGAAGGAGCTCAAGAAAAAAGGCGACGCCCGACACTCGAGAAATGCACAGTGGGCAGTGGGTTAATTCCGCGCACTCTGAGCGGAATCTGATTGTTTGATCCTGGGTGCTGAGCAGGTCTGTGTTTTCCTTTTGATTAGCGGAAGGGGTTATGAGCAGATAGCTGCCGCTGTTTGGTGGAAGAGGTGCAAACTTTGAGCTTTGCCACTCACCCGTACAACCTACTTTGGATAACCACTAGGCCAGCCTTGTGAAAACTATTTTTTGGGTGTGGCTGACATCATACACAGAGAACCATGGCAATGGCCAAATTTGTGAGCCGCAACATAATCATGATATGATAGTTACAGTGTATCTTTAGTAGTACATACTATATATATATATTTATAGGTTTTGATAATTATGTGGTGTGGAAGCTTTCCCAAAGTTTGATTGAACATATTGAAAGAGACAGAGATCAATTCCAACATGGTTCAAACACTTTTACATGAGGACATTGAGCGTTCGGTCTTTATGTCTAGGACATTCACTTTGCAAACACTCTATTCAACATCATCACCTCTGGGTGTGCCAAGGTTCACCCGAATCTCGGACGCATCTCAGCCCGATGTCGTCCAAACAGCCCGATGTCGTCCGCTTTGGTGCCTTGAACCCCGGGCTCGCATCGTGGCAGGGAAGCTACCCATCTCCAGCGGCGGCCCGGAGTTCAGCGCGGCACCTGGTCCCAAAGGTGGACCCGCCGGTGGCTTTGTGTCTTGGACCGCGCCACGTCGACCGCGCACGTTCCGGTGTCACGTTCCGGTGTCACCGATAAACGAAGAAACAATCGAAGGGTCCATGTCGATCGATGTCAGGTCACTCGTCGATGTTTTGGTTCAAGTCTTTTTGACCACATATAGTTAGCTAGTTAGCTAGAGATTCTGGGCTACGAGGGCCCAGTTTCGGGTTGTCTAATAAGAGCCCCTTAATGGTGTACAGGGATGTCCATGAAAGCCGGCCCTGGTAGAGCTCGGAAGGTCCGAGCTCGGAGCGACACCGGAACGTCCGCACCGTTCCGCTTTGGTTCCGCATCGACGCGTGACTCCTGCTCCTCCTGCTCGTCCCTTCGAAATCTTCTTCAACCTTTCTGGGTTTATGGATGTTGATGGTGTTCTTGCTCTTTGGTTTTTGACAACCTTTTTATGTACTTTCACAAGATGTGTGAATGTCGTTGAAATGGTTTGTGGATGTTTGTGGATCACCACGGGTATGGATTTGTTGCTCCTCCCTGGGTGGCTCCAGGTGGATATTGATGAAGACCTGCTGGAGGAGGTGGAAGAGAGCGAAGATGCAGAGACTGCAGAGAGCTACTTGCAAACTGAGGCGGGCAGCCGTGATGTTGGTTTCTTGATCCATCCAACCATCCTCCAGAATGGCTTTGTAGCATGCTATTGATATATATATATATATGCATGGAACAGCAGGTGAAAGAGTATAAAAAGGCCCCATATAAGAAATCATGCCCAATCCCCTGTGAAACGATAAGGAATCAACAACAATGATAACCCCCGATGACTCGTGTGGAAATCCCTTGACATGCGAAAAGTGGTGTGAAGAAAACGCGTGCACACGCACAAACAGAAAACCTACTACTGTTCCAAATTGTCAGGGTCAATGCATGACTGCTCTTGGTGGGTATGTGCTTGGACAGAGGTGGGAGAGCTTGGACCGCTGTAGCCTTGTGCTACAGCATTGTTGTGCCACATGGTTTTCCAGGCATGAACACGATAACACAACGATAGCAAAAACGACAACACAGCAAGCCTAAAACACTTTCCGTAGGCAGGCCACCACATGAGTGTAATTGGAATGAAGTGTGCCTAATGTCTTCATGCCTGCAAAGTTCCACACACCACATGCATGTAGTGCGCACACTACATTATACTATATATATTTGTTGCTGTTAGTCAACGTGCTGTAAAACGATAAGGAAGAAAACACGATAACGTCAAGAGTGGTATAAGGAAGGATAGAGGGTTTCTTACACAACCTCAGGTGTGGTGCGTTGGTTCCCCGACGCTAGGCAGAGACAAGAACCCAGTCTGGGCCGTGTTCCAATCATTTTACATGTTCTGTGAATGATACCTGTCGACCACGAGGAGGGCACGACCTCACGATCTGACATGCTTCCAAAGTTATCGTGCTGCTTCACTCTTCCTCGACCGTCTCTCACAGCCTGCACATAGCAAAAAACCTTCAAGCACAGCTTAGACTGGGCCAGACCTGTCAAATCTTTTCGAAAAAGTCTTCGAGCATATTCCTGCGCTGCTTTGGAGGAGGTCGGACGGCAACGACCTGTTGCCACCAACGACCACATAAGATTGAACGCATGGAGCCGAATTAAATGACGCTACAAAGGTTCAAAGCAAGCTAGAGAGTGCGGTTCATGACTATGCCTGTTCCAAGCAATTATACTATGTTCTATTTACAATCTCAACATTACCTTGAGCATCACCTGAAGATACCTGAAGAAAACTTCAATCGCGAGGCAGGGGGTTGCTTTGCTTGAAAAGGGAAACACATACCAGGGCGCCTAAGGGGTGGCTAATGGACATCCCTTAACCCTTAAGGGGGTTCAGTCCAAGACCAAGTGCCCCAGTGCCCGAAAGAACTACTCGTAGAAAATGGACCCCCCATACCGGTCCATCCGTTTGTTGATGTGTGTTTCATTGTCTTGATCTATATTTTGGTATTCCAGCATCTGTCCGTATTGACTTCATCCACCAGAACGGCCTCCTCCCTCCCTTCGCCTCGTGTCAGGTGCTCGAGCTCAACGAGGACGTGGAGCTCAACGAGGACCTTCTGCAGGCTGAGCGGAGTCAAGCCTTGGCAGCCGCCAAGCTCGCACGGCAGAAGGCCGGTGACCTGCCCCACCCGAGTGGACTCGAGTGCCCACCCCAGTGTGGCTCGTGAGATCAAAGAGGTCCGAGCTTCAGAAGGCTTCAGATTCAGGTTGGTCATCAGGTTATTTTGTTCAGCATGTGTTTTGTCATTTGATGTCATTTGGTTTGGCAGAGGGTTTCAAAGTGTGTTACGCTCACGGGTGTTTTTGACGGTCTTCATCACTGCTGCTATCTTGCAACTGAATGCCAGCCGGGAGGCCTTTGAAGAAGCAGCCCAGTTGAGCGAGGAAGAGCTGCGAGAGCGTGTGAAGCGCTCCATCGAAGAGTTGGTGCCCATCTCGGTGTCTGGCAGCTCGGAGGACAGGCACTGAAGGCTTTGGATGCATTTGGCCATATTTGGCCGTTTTTAGGGGCAGTTGTGCTGAGAAGAGGAAGCATGGGTTATTCTGTTTGAATCGATTTGTATGAGGCTAGACTTTCTCAACATTGATGAATTCAACTGACATCCTGAAACAGGGATATGTTTGAAAACATGTTTGGCAAGGAAGGAATGATTTGACCACTGAAGTGCCTTGTTCATGGAAGTTCTTTTGACGTGAAGCCACTAGTGGCTGCAGCACGGAGACGGCCAAGTACAGGAGACGCCCGTGGATGAGGGTGAGCTGACTCCAGCGCAGGTCTTTTACATGGAAAACCGCGATCGATTAGTGAGCCGAGCCCAAGATTACTACTTGGAGACCTGTCTTTGCATGGAACAGGGATCATATGGATGTGTTTTCTTGTTTCCACAGGGAACCCCCGAACCGGGATTGGGTCTATTTCCCCTTTTTAAGGGGGTCTTTGGGAGGTCTCCCTATTTGTATATACACCCACCCATATTGATTAATATGGTGACATGTGGCCCACCGGAAGTCTCATGAATTGCCATTTTCCTGGGCGAATCATTTTGTGAGACACAAGGAGAAGCACAAGGAGTTACAAAGAGATGATGACGATGAGGACGAGTGGCGGTACTACCACGATCCGGTGATGCGACCAGCAAAAGGACATCTCTGGTCCACTGGGATGGAAGAAGATGGCGGTGAGCATGGGCAAGAGAATGCCTGGCTCCAGGTCGGAGTTCGTTGGATCCAGTCGGATCCCTTCAAATCCAGATCACGGCGAGGGAGGAATCCCTCGGCTTTGTTTAGCACTCAACTCAACACAGGTGGCTGTCAGCCCAGAATAAACTCCTCAGATTAAACGGTCAGAATGGATGCCCATCAGTTGTTGAGACCTATTGAGACCAACGATCTAGCTTCAGGAGTGTCCACTGTGCTGATTTGAATGAGAGGTTCTCTACACATCTCAAACTGTCAGGTGGTCACCGATTGGCCCAGAGGTTATTTGCCAACGGCAGAGATGCTTGCGAACCTTCTGCGTTTGGAGCAAGCGCGGGACGTGAGTGTCATTGATTTGGAAGAGTGCGATCGGCGTGACGTGGGGACACATGCCATCATCGCGACAGGGGTCACGGCGCGGCATTGCCGGCGCCTGGGGCATATCATGTTTCGTGCAACCGAGGCCAGGTGTTTCGATGCAAAAGCTTCTTGTACTGTAACAGTGTCACAGGTAGACAGCAGTAACTCGGTATCAGAACAAACTGATTCACAACATGTGCATCTCGGGCGTTCCCCTTTTTAGGATATGTTAGGCTTGTGCATCATATATGACCCTAACTTAACCGCAAAGGCATGACGCGAAGCGGTTGGGACCCCCCCGACGGAAAGAGGATGAAAGAGGGCATCTACTATCTACTAGACGATGGAGTCTCCCTTTCACACATCCAGTGTCTCCGGCATGCAGCCTGGGGAGACCCCTGTCTCGTCTTGCGCAGGCCTGCGAAGCTCCCTTCGTACAAGCCTTCTGCTACGGAACGCGTCAGGATGAATGGGTCGTGGCCCATTGTGGATCCATTAAGGTCCACCTCTTGACGCAAGAAGCTCAGGAGCAATACCAGCTGGAGTTGCTCTACCGGAGCCTTGTCGCGGATGACGGACGGAGGGTGGAGCCCATGTGAGGGTGGCGCCCACGTTTTGATTCAACTCTTTGGGCTGGGAGTGTATCGTTTTGGATGGACAATTGGAGTGCCGTGCCTTTTTTTGGAGGGAGTGTCTTGGCCCCCCAAATGGAACCAGACATCTGGTATTCCTGCCCGTGACAATGTCTCCAGGGCATGCTGACGTTCCATCCAAGCACAGGGTCACCAATGTCGCAGTTGCAACATCTCCCCCATTCGAATGATTCCAATGTAGGTAATTTGGCCACGCATATAGATAGTTTGATAATGTTTGATGGTTTTGGGGCTGGAAATTTTCCACCCCAACCCCACCCCAAGCGGTCATGGCACCGGGTTTATCACTGGTGCACGGTGCAATGCCGTTGAATCCGTACCAGAGCTGAGGCAAGAAGAGACAAGCTAGGCACAACATGCCCAAGCACAAAACATTTCGACAACATGTCTAGTCGGAGCACATGGTCAATGACCCTAATGACCCCTTAGGTCAGATCACATGCAGCACGGTGACCTTGAACTTGACAGGGTTTATGACATTCTTGTAATTATATATATAATGTATATACTTTGACCATTGACTCCAAATCTTCGGGAAATTGGACTTTCATTTCTGACCTCCGCGAAAAGCCTGTTTCACGGAGGAGGCCGGAGTACTTCTTTCAACCAGGTGACTTTCCGCACTACGTGGAGGTGGGGGTTTTGATCAAGCTTGGCATGGTCCCTGATCCACTCAGAGAATAGTCCACAAAGGATTTCACTGACAAGCTTCACATCACCATCATTTCATGACGAATCTTCGTCCGGGGACTTTCGACTCTGAAGCGAACACCTGCATCCTTTTGAACCCGGCCTTTGGTCCACCACCCTTGTTACATTGTTTTCAATGTGCATATTGCTCCATCCTTTTTTCACACCATGGTTTATCCCCACGTGTCTCCCACCGACCCGACCGTTGATCCCCTTTCCCGGGAGGTCTATGGCTCGGCCACCGATGCGATGATGCTCAACGGTGAGACCCACGTGACCCACGCCATCGGCTCCCGGAGCCGTTCGGCGCTGCCGGTGCCCTACCGGGATCGGCTCCATCGACGCTCGGTGGGAGGGTGAAGGAGGGTGAAGGAGGGTGAAGGAGGGGTTTGAGGCGGTTGACCACAACGAGGCAGTGAGGCTTGAGATGTTGAAGGAACATGATAAAAGGATTGACCTATATACTATATATAGTATGAAAGGATTTTCTTTGGCATGAGAAAAAGGATATGACAGTTCTTTTTATTTGACTTCACGGATTGACTCCCATCCGTATACGTAGATGTTTTTGTAATCAGTTACAGTAGTTAGGTTGCTTTTGATCCCTAGATCTCGGCATGCAAAACTTGGCCAGTTGCAACAATCGTATCCACAGTGGCAACAGGGGTGTGAGTCAAAAAGTGATTGCAACATAACCTTGGTAAGCTAGGTTTTGGAACACACTTTGGAACAACTGTTCAGTGAGGTAGATATTGCTGTGATATTGCTACTCAAGGTTGCTGGACTGGTGCTATTGATTAAAGCCTTCTCGACAAAGTGTCTAGCTAGTGTCAGTCATGCAAGTGTCGGTAGAATCGAGCTGGCTTTGGTGTAAACTTGTACCAAGTCGGCATAAGCTGACTCTACCTTGGCAGTACACAAGCCAGGTGGGAGGAGCAGGCCCTGTGATCATATGGAAAAAGCCCGTCCTTTCTTCCATGGCCTGCCTGGACGATGATTCCGTTGTTTCACGATATATCATGTTAGCATCTTGGACTCTTCTAAGATCATACAAGACCCTATAAGGCCATTCAGAAGCTGTACCTTGCCTTCCGAGAATCGAAGACTCCCATGGTGAGGCCACATGGAGCAGGCCAACTACGAGGGCACAGAAGACTCTCGCTACGTGGAGGGTCGCCTGGAAGCCCCCGTCATCGATGTGGAGGGCTCCCCAGTGGTGCGCGCAGCGGTGCAACGAGAAGCGCGGTCGTCCGGGAGTTCGGACTGGGATGCTTGGCCGCTGCAGGCGAGGAGAGCAAGATGTGTTCAGAGTCCTACAACGCACATCTCTTGAAGAACTCCCATCCTCGATTTGGTGGAACTGTGTGGAATGCAACAGAGGCAAACATGAACGTGAGGATAGGCTCAGGTAAGTACTTGGGAGGTGCAGCTGCGGCCACATTTCACAGGAGCAGAATCCCGAAGAAGCCACTGACAGCGAGGACGAAGATGCCCACGAGGAGACGCGAGGAGTTGGCGAAAGGCGTCGAACGGTTTGGCGGAACAGAGGTCATCCTTGGTCCAGGTACTTGTTGAACGATGCTATAGATGGTTTCGAAAAGGGCCAACATGGATCAAAAAGGATCAACGCATTCCAGAGGAGCTGAATCCTGAAGAAGACACGGACAGTGAGGACAAAGATGCCAGCAATGAGTCGAGAAAGCTGTAGACTTGCGTGCAAAAGATGTGCATGTTTGGGTGGCCTCCGACCATCCGCAATGTGTAAATGCATGTACATCATGTACACCAATGCGGACTCTCAAAACATCTTCAAAACCCTTTGCGTGCAAAAATGTGTTTCCCTGTATACCCGGATTTTACAGCTAGACTTTAACGCGTTGGTTTTGTAAGGATGTCGCGAATGCAGCAAGTTAAAAGACATTGTCACCAATAATACCCAACAGGCAATGGTGGGGGTTTCAGATCTTACTGTTAATATTTGTTAATGATGCAACCTCCCTCCCGCTTTGGTTTTTCTTCATCCACCGGGAAATACACCCAAACCAAGATTCCACCACAGATTCTGAACATGGGTCATTTTCGTAAGAGACATGGCCGGTGTTTTCAAAAAAAGAACGCCAAGTTCCACCGGCCTTGCGAGTTCCTCTTGGCTCCGACGGGCGGACGCGATGTTGGCCTGGCTGTGGCTCATTGGGCTCGCTGCCGCCACTGGGCTGAGGATGAGGCGGATAAGGTGGCCAGGTGGTTTGCAAGAAGGACAAGGGCATGAAAGGGCAGCTATAAAAGCCAGGTGGAGGGCAGCTATATATATAATCATGTCATTAGCTGTGTTCAGGTGTCAGATTGCACTGACACCTTTCTTCCGTTGTCACTGTATCCATGCTTGATTCTTTTCCCCGCTCAAGCGCCAAGGCTACTGGCTATGACACCGGCGGGTTGGGGCGCCTCAGTAGTTTGTAAAGTGCCTAAAGTGCCAGGTCGACTGGCTTCGGACAGCACCTGCACCAAGTGTTCTTGGATGCACGTATCCAGACAGCACCGGCTGTTTGCTGATCCAGACCTGGTCGTCTGCCGGCTCCGCGGGCGCGCTTGCGGCCAAGGCGACCCGAAGTGGCTCATGCCGCACAAGCCGCACTTGCTGCGCTGAACGATGTACAGAGGCACGAATCGATGTCTTGAAGGTCTTTTTGGACACGCATATACCTATCTGGCGGTCAAAACCTGGAGCCCCCAACCCTGGGGGGTTGACATCCTAAAGGAATATGTTCATTTGAGCGTCGTTCAAAACCCACCTCTTCCTTGTTAGTAATCGAATTTCAAAGGCTGATTTCGATTGTGCTCTCACTGCAGTCGCGAAAGGTTCGCGAAGGTCCTGCGAAAGGTCTGCGCAAGTCATGTTGGTGACCTGGCCACGCTGCAAGAACAATTGCTCTTCAGACTTCCGATTGCTTTTTCCCGGGTTGGGAAAAAGCAAATTGGAAATCTGAACCATTTTGCTTTTTCCCGGCCCGGGAAAAAGCAAATTGGAAGTCTGAGCCTTTTGCTTTTTCTAGGCCTGGGAAAAAACAAATTGGAAGTCCGAACCATTTTGCTTTTTCCCGGCCCGGGAAAAAGCAAATTGGAAGTC